AAGTTCCGAGGCTGTTGCACTCTCGTCTCTCGTTGTGGAGCCAGGGAGATACTCAATCCGTGTCGTTTCAGAGGACTCCAAATTGAGCAGGGAAAGGAATCGATTGAAGTAGGTATGAAACATCTGCGACTTCAGCTCGCTTGTCCCGGCGTCTGTCTGCCCATCACCAGGTTGGAGCGGCAGACGGTAAGTCAACTCTGCCAGTGATCTTAAACACGCTTTGTCCAGGTCCCTCTGAACCCTAGTAGTTTCATCTTGCCTCACGGTTCCGAAGCCCGAGGTGTCCGTTCTCGGCGAGCGAGGTCTCGCAATCCAACCGAATATATACTCCAAGAGCTGATTTCGAATACGAACGTCATCTCTAAGGTTGAGATGCTCTTTCCTCTTCGTCACAGCTTCACACAGCTGACAAACCTTGATCTTTACTTTGAGACTGCTCCCGCTGTCCGGAACACCGTCCAGAAACTTGGCGAAGTTGAGCGTCAGGGCACCAAGGTGTATCGACGAGACAGCTCCGAGGTCTGACGGACTGTTTAGTCGTTCTACGAGAGCCCTGAGCAGCGAGGCGGACTGCTCTGCGAAAACGATCTCACTATCCTGGCCCTTGACGGAGGGCTCCAGTGCTCCAGTAAACAAGACGTCAAGCTCAGATACTAACGCCTTAAATAATGGCTGGAAAAGGGTTGACGAGATCTCTGTCGACAGAACTTCCCTCATAGTCTCGCGGATCCTCACATTGCTACATGCCAGAAGCTGGATGCTGAGCCTGAGATATCTCCCTAACAAGGGCTCTTCGTGATTTTCCGAGGACAGTCTGTCTATCCACTTTAGTCCGCTCAGGGCAGGCTCTTCTAAGATTGCGGCCTGATCTGCAGTGCAAATTCCTCCGAGGGACGCCAGGAAGCCAGAGTAATTACGCCATTCAGAAACCGTCCGTTCAGTGACGGCTTCTGGGAGCATGGTCGAGACATCTCTCGAAAGATTGAGCCACCTATCGAACGCCAATTCCCAAGCACCAAGGATGCCGCCGCTCGGGTACTGCATGCGTCGAAGCAAGCCCCGAATTCTCTTTTGGAAAGCAACAACGCCAGTGAAACGGAAGTCGCGGGATGCTATTTCTCGAAAAATGTCACCATTCCGAAGCAGACTTGAAGAGGACTTGGCCGACCCAGAGGCAGTATCGATGATACGACATTCCTCTAAGAATAGTCCAGTGCATGATGTGACAAGCTGACAGGTATCGACATCCGCAGAACATAACGACACCAAAAAGAGTGTCTCCAGCTTGATGGAGGTGGCTGTTCTTTCTGGAATGTCTTCAGATAGCTCAGATAATTCCTGTAATCAACCTTTTCGTTAGAGTCCGGCGAAAGAGACGTACGTTAAAACTTACACGTATCGAAGTTAGGAGGAGCAACCGGGACTCGAGGTAGCCATGAATTGAATGTAGTTCGGTGTGAAATTGGCTAGATCCGAGGTTGTCACACATAGCCATTAATATTATCGAACTGTTCTTCATTAGTATGCACGTAGTACGCTATTTTTTACAACTTACGTGAGTTTCCAGAAGTTGCTCTTGAATTCCTGTGAGTCTATCCTCTTAGATGCCCTTAGTGGTTGTAGTACGCTCTCATCTGCGAAGAGACGCTTGGCAACACGCATGGCTAATTTGCGCACGCGTTCGTTGGATGAGACGAGACATGATATGAAGGCAACTAAGTTGTCCTCGAAAAACTGGTCCCGCTCTCTATCCTTTTCTGGGGGGCCCTCAAACAATGTCAACGGAGATGCGTCTAAGAAATCTAAAATGTTGCAAATCATGTTTATAGCAGCTCCGGCCTCGGCGTTTTTACGCTGCAGTGCTTGGTCTCCGAAATAAACGTCCGTAAGTAGTGCCGAAGTTGTCTTTCTCATATGTTAGCCAAACCCTACGAAGGGTTGTTCAACAAAGCTCACCTTCAAATGACCTTGAATAAAAGCAGACGTGGCGGTGAAGAGCAACTGGTATTTCTCTGGGCCATCTAGTCTTGCGAAATACGAACACGCCTGTATAACAGCTGTCTTGAAGGCATGAGGCGCAGTGGGGGACAGGCAAACCGTTGCGAGGGTGTCCACACAGCTGTCAAAATTAAGATGTGTCAGGCTCACAAAGGCTGCTGTCATGACATCCTGGTCAAACGGCGCTCCATCTAGTCCAGCGGAGGAGCGGCGGAAAACCGCGTCTCGAACCTCATCTTGGACATCCATGGCATAACTAACGAGAGCCGAATCGCTCTCGGCATCGAAGTGACGAGCAGCTCGTAAGAGACACACGAGACAGTAGGCGGCTTGTTCGTTCCGATTCCTCAAAGCCTTTCTTAAACCATCAAGGAAGCCCACCTTTTTGGCCATGCTCCCGCTCTTGGCTTCCCTCATATTGCTGGCGACCTCGAAAACATCTGGCAGCAGGAACAGAAGGGTGGTCTGCAACGGATAGAGCACGATTCTCCTCCTGCCCGTCTCCACCACTGTCTGGGTCATGTCAAAGAGTGTATCCGCGCCACCATCCAGCCTCTTATGCAGAGCGTGGAGCTGCACGAACTCTTCCGGGTAACGGTCAAGCCATCTGGTGATTAGCAACGGGGTCACAATGGCTACAACATTCTGGAATGACTTCCGGAAGTGCAAATAACTCGAGCAAAACTCCTGAATAAGGAGGCCAAGCTTATAAGCATCTACCCAGAAGCTACCTACAAGACGAAGAGTGACTAGAGCAGCACGTTCTTCCTCGACCCCCAGGCCGATCTGCACAGGCCCGCCTTGGGAAGGCGCCGCTGCGCGAGTGCTATAAATCATGTTCCTGAGATAATCAAAGGCAGCAGACCAGCTCGATGCCGTCACGTACTCTACTATCGCCTTGACCTGGACCTCTATCTCGCTAGCATGAGCTTCGAGGAGGCGGCTACTTTCGACTGGCCCGTCTGGTGCAGCGAAAATTGATGGCTGCGATAAGGTATCCGAAGTAAAACTGCCAAGCTGATCCGCTGGTGGCGAATCCAGGATAGTCTTGGCAGGGAGGATGTACCCGTCTGGAAATGGCGAAAAATAGAGCTTGAGTATGTCTAAGATCCGGACTGCGAGTGCATCATCCAGAGGATCTGGCAGGGGATGAATGGCCTTCTGCCATCCGCGCGCGGCATCCTCGACGTTTTCAGCAGAGGATGCTCGCCCGACGGCACTCCAGTGACTCGAACAGCAATCAGCAAGTAATGCTAGGACGTAGAGTTCGGAAAAGAGGACATGGGGAGGATGGTTGACGACGGCCTGGTACGGCCGAGCGAGGTCTTCTAGCAGCGATAGAAGGGCGTCGAGGACGATAACCACGGAATTGGCGCTGACCTTGACAAGAGTGGCGCGAGTGATGAGGACTATGTCGTCTTGGTGGAGATCTTGCCCATGGGTACCAGTTCGATGGGGAAGCTGGCAAGGACAGAGTCAGCATCCATACGGCACATGCATGTTATATTACGAAAACGCTTGGGGGGAAAGAGGCAGGCGATGGGCAGTGCATGTTACCCTAGTTGTGAGCCTCTCCACCAAGCAGCCCACCAAGCTGGCGTCCCCGCTCATTGTACTGGTAGACATGAGGAGGAGCTTCAATGTATATCATGGTCATTGACCCATATTCGTTTTCAATGCCGTCTTTTTTGTGATCCCTGCTTCGTCTCTGCGAGGGTATCAGAACTGCGAACTGCTCCAATGTATAGCCGAGGCGTAAGTGGGCGCGAGTCCAATCAACCAGAGTTTGCCGTTGAGATAGCTGATAGATGAGGCAGTGTCGGGATGCAGGATGATGTGCAATCGCTTTCGAGCTGGTTAGACGCCTCAGGAGAGTGTGGAAGTGGGATTCTGTCAGAACAGCCGAGGCACGTACAACAGCCGTTGCAGTGGCTAAGGAACGGCTTGAATCGAGCAGGTTAACGGCGATGCTGCTGCAGACGGGAGGAGCGCTCAATCGGACTAGCCGGGCTACCTGACAATCGGGCGTGGTCTCAGTTTTGTCGGCTGAAATGTCGCGATCGTGGCAAGCGTTGGGAGTAAGTGTTTCAGGCACGGGGCTGAGGCTTCGACTGCTCGTGTAGATGGGTGGGTAGGTAGGTAGGGCGTTGTGGTGAGGAAGGATAACACTGGGTAGGTAGGTTATGTCCAAGGTGAGTAAGGTAAAGGTGTTGGAGACTGAGAGGAGCTCTAAGCATCGAAGTCGCAAGTCGAATTGGTGTGTGCGTTGTGGTGCGGTGCGGGGAGTGAGACACATGGTCTTGTTTGGTGGGGCACCTAGCCCCCCTCCTCCCGTGCTGGTCACTCGGGAGTCGGGAAGCCCCTTGCGCTTGCGCTCCCAAGGTTCTCTCCACACCATTTATTGGTTGGTACTACTTGGTAGGTAGGTAGTTTAGGGACCGTTGGTACCAACTACCTCTACCAATCTTGGAAAGCTTACCCGCTCACCCACCTCCCTGGTACCTACGTCTTGCCTGAGTACCTGACTTTACATTTTGCCTACCTACTCAAGTAAAGTAGACATGTGCCTAGGCACTTAAGGAGCCTTGTAGGTACCCGGGAGATACCCACCCAACCGACTACAAGTCCTGCACGTAATAAGCGCCCAGTGTAGGTACCGTAGGTCAGTGGATATTTGGCTCGGTCGGGCATGTTGATTTGATGGCATCGAGAGGCTGTTGTGTCATTGCATTACCTATCACTCGGCATTAGGACATTACCCTAGAGGGTACCTAAGGTATCAAGAAGAACATCGCCGAACTGGACTCGTCATCCGTCTATCAACTTTTGAAGCAGTTCATTCAACTCTCTTCGAGGTGTCTCCGGCACAGCAAAGAAAGCGGTATATATCACATGGATCGAGCTATAGTACGATATGATTTGAGCGAGCCAGCCTCACGGCCCTGACTTCCTCCTGTTAGCCCATCCGTCTTACATTCCTTGGCTCCGACCATTCATCGTAGTTATTCCCACCAGCATTCAGTAGCCTCGCGAGTCACGACCGCGACCACGATCATTCCCGTACGATCGATGACGACGATCATCATACCCTTGGCTCTGGTGGCTTTGGTAACCTTGCTGTCCTCCGGAGTAGTTACCCGGGGGTGGAGGGGGAAATCGCTCTCCATAACCCTGGTTTCTTCCGTAATTCTGCCCATACCCGCCATTTCCGTACAGATGCGCCGGCGGTGGCGGCGGAGGTAATCCCACACCAAATCCAGGGTATCCCGGAGGCGGTGGCGGCTGTGGATATGACGAAAGCGTTCCCGGGGGAGGATAGGCATCCCGCTGCTGGTATCCATTTGATCTAAAATTTGGCGGTCGATCTGGCTGGTCTTGTCGCTGCTGAGGGCGGCCCGGTCCGTAATTGATTGGGCCCCTCCTATCACCATTGTAGTTGTTATTGTTATTGTTATTGTTGTAATTGGGGCGCCCAAGCGGAACACCTCCATAGCTTCTCCCTGACCTTTGCGATTTGCTCCTCAGAACTTCTATGTCACTACGATCAAGAGCCGCAGTGGGCATTTTCAACCCGCGCAGTAGCATCGATTTGTGAACATGAGCAGTGACAGGCATCTCATAGTTGACCCTATTGGGAAGGTAGGTTAGCTGGCTGAAAATTGGGGAACAAGTGCATGCGTGGCAACGTACCGAAGGGATCGATCATAATCAATATCCGGCATGGCATTCCTCGAAAGTGGATAGACCAGGGCACCATGTGGGAGATATTCCTTGATCTTCTCTATCTTGCCTGCCAATCCGTCACTGACCCGAGGATCGAGCTTGTACTTCGGCGCACCCTGCTTCTTCGAGTAGAAGTGAGCTGTGATATCATCATATAGATGGGGGTGGGCATCCGATATGAGGAGTACATCCGCCCCCATCTCATTCCGAGCTTGATCTTCGACGCTTAGAAGCGGGTAACGTTTTTCTACCGCGTTCAGCAAACGAGGCATGTCAATAAAGGGCAGTAAGGCAACGCCTTGCCAGGCCATTTTTTTCCCGTTCAAGTCCACTTCGAAATCCTCGGGGTAGAAATCAATGATCTCGCTGTCCGGCTCCGTCATGAGATCATGAAAAATTTCGGGAATCGAATGACGAGACGCGGCAGGGAGCACACTCATGAGCTGTTCGAAAGGCTTAGAAATCCGACCTTTCTCGAAACTCAGGCGCATGTCCTTGAGGTCCACAAAGTCGGCCGCAAATGGCGCATAGTGATAGGGGTAGTACCATTCCCAGGACGGACATCCTTGAAAATAGTACATCAGAACCCAGGCAAGACCCTCTACATATGCCCTGGCCACCTTGTGCCGGAATTCTATGTCTTTGGGATCAACATGGAATTTCTGCTCGTAATACCGGTCGGCATATCCCTCTTCCCAGAGTCGTACACTGTCGACTGGACCTTCTTCTTCCTGCCCAACAGACGGGGTTCCAGTCTCTGCTGTGCTTGTTCCAGGGGTGCTGACATCATCTTCCATTAGTGATGCCTTTCGTTTCCCCAGCGCGGATGCCGGTGACTGTTCGTCTGGTACCGCAGCGTCTGAGTTTCCTTTAGCTGCACCATCAGCTGGCTCAGCCACCGAGTTTGCTGGCTGAGCTTGAGACATGAGACCTTGAATCTGACTTTTCAAGACACTGGCTGCACTCTTATTGGCAACATTTGCATCCCGTAGAGCTCCACGGTTTACCACCATATCGTGGGTTATAGCCATCGGAGCGGGTTTTGCTAGGCTCGACAGAGGTATGAGAGGGACGTTAGACGGCGGATACTCGGGAGCATTACGATTTCGTGGTCTCTTGTTCGAAGGTGAGCCGTTGTGACCATTTCTTCCGTTTGCTTGATCTTGAAGTCTGCGCCGCTTTGCGTTGGCTTCGCGGCGATCCTCGGTTTCTTTCCTGCGGCGGAAGATGGCGTCTTCTTGTTTTGCGAGTCCAGCCAAGATGTACTGGGCACGTTCCAAGTCCACATGCCCGTCCTTCGTGACATAGCCCCCCATATGTGGGAGGTTGTCCTTCCAAATAGCCATGAGCGTATCAATCCCGTTTTCTCGAATCTCGAGTGCGGGCAGGTGAGGCAGGAAGTCATTTCCCACAAAGAAGCACATGAAAACCCAATCATCGATGGCTCTCTCGAGATCAAATCTAAAAGGGAGGCCCGGGACATCCAATTCAATAGCGAGATATTCCCGAAGGACAGAGACGTGAAGCCAGATAAAGGGTTTAAGAGGGTGGGCCTTGTCCTTTTCGTCTGACTCTCCGTCTTTTTCCTTGGCGGCACCTCTACACGCTTGTGCATCATGACCCTTCTGCCCACAAAGTTTGCACATCCTGGCTTTTCCCTCCTGGAAGAAAACGTCTTCTCGAAGCACGCGGAAGTGAGGCTCATGGGTAGCAAGCCCCAACATGATAAGATCGGCATCGAGGCCGTAGATGACATGCCGCGTGTTCGGGTCATGTTCGGGAGATGACCTCTGAGAACGGACGAAATTCATGATCTTATGCTCACCCTCGCCGGGAACCGAGGCGTCAGAGATGATGATCTTCATTTTCGCCCAAGCCGGATCAGTATTCAGCTTGTACGCGCACCAATATCGTAGACTAGCTGCCAGAATATCCATGAAGGGCGTGCCGGGCGTGATACTGTTGGAATCAAAGGCCTTCTTGGCCACAGTTTCGACCGTCTCCTCTGTCACGGCACCGCCATTCTGCTGCTTCAGAAGCTTCAAAAGCTCCTGTTTGTCCTCTTCCTTCTCTTTAGCATCCTGGGCGGAACGGAAACGTCTAGAACGTTGCTGATTCATTTTCGCTCGAGGGGCAACACCGTCTAAGGAGATGGTGGTCAGTCGATGACTACAGTTTGCTAGTGGGTCAGGGGGGAGCAAGGACTTACCAACGGCTATCATGAGCAGCTTGCGAGGTCGGACCATATTGACAACGCGATCGGTGTACTTGAAAATCTCGACCATCATCTCTTCCTCATCTTTGGGAGGCGGTCGGTCCTCGGGATGGGAGCACGGATGGACGATGCCGTTCATGTCCAGGTAGAGATTGTCGAACTCTTCACCATTCGGATTGGGACGGGTTGCATCGACAGGGATGACGGAGCCGTCGTCCATCGTCAGAGGTTGATCTTCGATGACCGGGGATATGATCTTAGGGTATTTGGTGGATAGCCATCTGAACGCAGCTGGAATACCCATTGTGACGAGCCCGCGGGGCGCCGAACAAGTGGCTGCAAAGGTTCTTCACCCTATGCGCTGCCTAGGCAAGATGAGATCGCAACTGACACAGCGACACCACGGATATGGGATGTATAGATGAAGATGGAAGATGGAGGCTTGTGACACGGATCGCGACAGTCGGGCTCATGGGGGTTTGTTGATCTTGCTTCTATTCGCAGCGTGGGATTGACAAGTGAGGCAGGTACGGTGGGTGTGTTGTTTGCTTTCCGTCTTCGTCTCTGCGCTTGCGAGATGCAAGATGTATGATACGGTGTTTCCCTATGCTACGCGAAACGTAGAATGTTGCTTTGCGACACACTGAAAGTGGGCTGGGCATGGGATGGTGAAGGTTGTCGAGGACAAGGAAAACTAAAGTTGATACCTAGCCTTGCCGGGCAGACGGGATGTGCTTCTTTTTTTTGTTCTTGCCATGGAGGTAAGGCGACCTGCGAACTACCCCCAGGTTGGTATCTAGTCCACCCATCTAACGTGGGCGAGATACCCTAGGTGAGCTAAGGAGGGCGCCACTATCAAGGTACCTCCTAGGTATCTAAGTAGGGACATATGGGGCTGATGCACTGGACGGCTACCATGGTGGACGAGGCAGGGGCAGCCTTGGCAGCCTGAGTGGCGCCCCAAGTCGACCAAGCTCCACTACCTAGGCACTAAGCAGAAGCACTGACAAAAGCTACACGCCTGGGCTTACTCCCTCAAGGAGGTACCTAGGCGAAGGACACTCAGTACCGGTAACAGCATTATACTGTTTAGAAGGGTAACTAGCTCCTCAAAACCGACTATAAATTACAATACTCCCAAATTACAGAAGTATCGAGGTTATTGCTATTTGATGCAATCTGTCCCAATTCTCTGACAGCTCTCACCACTAGGAAGCTACGCGCTTCAGAGCTTCCAAAAGCAATTGCTCTCGTTTGAGGTACCTCAGGAGCAAACGTCCGAGAAACATCGCCTTGACGTACGGTCGAGTCCCTCCTCAGCAAGCCGCCTAGGTACTAGAGACATCCTCCGCACGCCAGAAAGTCGTTGGCTGTCTCGCCGCAGCTGTCAGTCCACCACTCATGCACATTCAAACCAGCACCTCACTTTCCTCCGGCACCGGTGAAGCATGAGCTCAATGGCCGCGGAGTCGAAATCGAACAATCACCCTCCACCACCATGTTTTCCATTGCAACTGCACCGGCCAAGCAGTCGGTCAGCGAAACCATATCTGTGCTGAGCGGCCGTCTCAGCTCCGCCACCCTTCTCGAGGATCGTCGCGCCGCCATACTCGGCCTCCGCAGTTTCGCCAAAGAATACCCTGCCTCTGTAGCTTCTGGCGCTCTGCGAAGCTTGATCGGGAGCCTCAGCAAGGACGGCGAGGATGTTGACACCGTCAAGGTCGTTCTCGAGACCTTGCTCATGTTGTTCAATCCAAACGAGGATAGCCCCGAAGCCTCTGAAGAGATTGCTTTGTGGCTCGCCGATGAGTTTACGCAGCGCCAGGAGAACATTACTCTACTGCTCGACTTCCTTGAAAGTAATGACTTTTACTCTCGACTCTATTCCCTTCAGCTGCTCTCGGCCATCCTCGCTGCCCGTACCGAACGGACCGAAGAGTGTGTCTTCACAGCTCCCCTCGGCATCTCGAGGCTTGTTGCCATTCTTGACGATCGCCGAGAAGCGATTCGTAACGAGGCTATATCGCTCCTGATCTACCTGACACCGACCTCCACCGACATACAGAAGCTTGTTGCCTTTGAGAACGCCTTCGACCGAATATTTAAGATTATCACGTTTGAAGGCTCCCTCGCTGAGGGAGGGCGAGTAGTCGAAGACTGCCTTATATTCCTGGCGAATCTCCTCAGATTGAATCCCTCGAACCAATCCCTCTTCCGGGAGACGGGTTGCATTCCGCAGCTGGCAACCCTGCTCGAAGGCGCATATAGTTCAAAGGGGGACGACCAAGAAGAAGTGGCGCCTTGGGCTCAGGCTCAACGTAACAGGAATATTTATGCACTTCTGGCTGTGCTCAGGCTATTCCTTGTCGTTGGTACCGTGGGCACCGCTCAGAATCAGAATGCGTTTTACCGTCATCGTTTGCTTGATCACGCACTACAGCTTGCCTTCAACTACGCGGTTGAGATTCCCATTAAGGCTGAGGTGAGAGTCCTGCTCGCTCGCTTCCGTCACTCTTGCACTTCAACACTGCTGATCACGATATCTCTCGCTAGGCTCTCTCTACCTGTGCTGATATTATCCGAGGCAATTCCGGCCTCCAGGAGAACTTTGCGCAATTACAAGTCCCGTCACCGCTGGATTGGGCGGTACATGGGCAAGCAGAGGTTGTGAATGGTGTCCGGAAAGTTTATGTCATTGACGCTTTGCTAGACATGACCCTTGTAGTGTATGCCATTCAAGCATTTGATATTCGCATTGCAGCATGCCAGTGTCTCAAGGCATATTTTTTTAACCACGCCGAAGTACGCATGCATTTCCTTCGCCGGGCTATCGAAGGTCACACCTCAGGAGCGGATGAGACCGGCAACGTGTTAACCACACTGCTGCGCCCACCCACAGATGCCTCGTCTAGCGATCCCTATAGATCGTGGTTTGCGGCCGTGATCTTGCTCCACCTTATCTTTGAAGATCCCGATGCCAAAGCACTAGCAATGGGAGTAACTGAGGGTGACGAGGCGAATGGCGAAGAAGTGGTCACAAGCATTCAAACTATCACAGCTCATCTGCTCAGCAGTCTCGCGAGGGGCGAGGATGATCGAATCATTGTTGGGTACTTAATGTTACTTCTGTGCTGGCTGTTCGAGGACCTAGATGGCGTAAATGATTTCTTGAATGAGGGTAGCAACGTCCAGGGACTGATACAAGCAGTTGTCACGCCCTCTGCGGGACCCTTGGTACAAGGCCTCTGTGCCATGTTGCTGGGTGTAGCTTATGAATTCTCAACCAAGGATTCTCCAATTCCACGGGCAACGATTCAGCCAATTCTTCTGTCGCGTATGGGTCGCGATACTTACATCGATAAGCTTGGCAAGCTGAGATCTCATCATCTCATCCGAGATTTTGAGGTTCTGCAGCAAAAGATGGAGACTGCTCCAGGACAAAAATTCCCTGACGTATACTTCGACGCTACATTTGTTGATTTTTTCAAAGACAACTATAGTCGTATTCTTCGAGCAATTGACAGAGACCCTGGTATGGAGATTTCTGTGATGACCAATGGCGTTCAGAAGGGTATTTCGAGAGAGCTTGTTGATGCATTGAGAAGTCAGTTGGAAGATAAAGACAGGGCTCTACAAGAGGTCCAGGTCAAGGTTGCCTCACTCGAGCAGCAATTGGGTCAGGAACGGGCGGATCATCGTCGCACGAAGGAAGTCGCAGCCGTAGATCTCTCAAGAGCCAAATCGAACCATGATTCTGCCCGCAAACAACTTGAGGCAGAGATCAGGTATGTCTGCAGAATTCTTCCCGAACCTTTGTTCCGGAGAGCTAACCGCGAATTGCAGCGAATTGCGCACCGTGCAGCGTCAACAAGAGGAAGAGATGCACAGGCGCATCGATACTACACGGCGAGCTGCGGAATCAGAATTGGAGCAATTCAAGCGCCGGGCAGATGCCGACCAGCGCTCGAAGGAAGAAGAATTGCGGCGTCAGTCCGAAGATGTACGGAAAAGGCTGCAGTCTGAAGCCGACCGCTTTCAACGGCGAGCAGAGGCGGAAATGGCAGATTTGCGAGCCACGATTAGTAGATTGGAAGTTGATCTTATCAAGGTGAGGAGTCTCTGAAAAGAAATGGCGAATTAATTCATCAAGAGAAGATAATGTTAACGTCTAATGATAGGCAAATAAGACCAAAGCACAGGAGCTACAAGCCGCACGAGACTTGGCTAAAGAGCAGGCCACAGAGCAGGCCAAGGCCCTTCAAGAGGCAGTCAACGAGGCTCGCAGTCTTCGAACGAGCCTAGCGACTGTTGAGGTCCGAAATCAGAAGGTGAGTGCTGGACGCTTGTCCCCCTCAAAGTGGTGCCCTTCATACTGAGCAATTTCGTGCTATCAGCTGGAGTTGCAAGTGAGCGAGAAGGAAGAAGAGAGGAAGATAGCGCAAGGGGAACTCGATGATCTCTTGATGGTATTTGGCGACTTGGAGGAAAAAGTATCGAAGTACAAGGTTGGTCTATCAAGTCACTCTGTTGAAGCTGATACTAATCAGGCCAAACAGCGTCAACTCAAAGCTTTGGGAGAAGAAGTTTCCGAAGGAGAGGATGATGGTGACGGCGAAGAAGATGGAGATGATGACGACGAGGCGACAGATGCCACGAATGATGATGTCGACTGAGCGAGGCTTCAGATGCCCCTGAGACCAAGCTTCCCGTTGTAGCTAAGTCTGTGCCAACATCAACTGGATCATCCTGTAGTAGGCAATGGCGACATCGCGCACGTTTTTCGCCTTACATCTTAGAGAACAAACGGAAAGTCTGGACTTAGAGGTCGAGCACTGTAGTTGATATCACCAGAGTCGCGTAAGCATATTCTTTGAGAGAATGGCTCCAGCTGGGCAAGAAATTTACAATGGCACATCTGCTCATCAAGGTTTGGTGGCCGCTATACTGCTCGACGCTTACCAAGAGCAGCATGAACAGTCCAATACCTGCCTCCAGTTATGGCACGCCCATCATGCCAATTTTGCTTGGGGTATTTCGGTGTCTGTTTGACTAGAGCATCTCCTGGCCGGCCATGGCAACGGAACTAAATTTCTTATCGTCAGACAATATGGCAAGTTCGAAGACTTTATGCCTGTATCCGAAAGCATCTGGCTAATATTTCAAGTTCGCACGTCTTCAAGCCAAAGATATTGAAAATGAGCGTCGATGCCATCATCTGTACATAGATAGGTCCCAGGCCTTATCTGAGCGAAGGGAGCTTCCTCCCCAAATGAAAAACCTTGGTACCTAGAGTGTAGAACTTTAGGACAGTTGCTAGCTGGGTACCCAATTGCGTAGATAATCAAATGCCTATTCGGGGTCCTGGAGTTCCTGAGTTTGGTACAATAGAGGCATCTCGTGCATAACACTGCACGGATGTTGGCATTTGCCATCGAGGGGCAAGGTGTGACGCCTGATTTATCTAAGTACATAATCCACAATTTTCTTGACCCCACCACGACAAAAAGCACTTTGTACTTGTCCTCTATCGACTGGACTTATCCTGGCACACGCTTGTGAAAATCTCACTCTCGCCGTAAACTGCACAAGCTAGGTATGTACTAGACAACAATCTACCAAAAGTTAATCAGCTTCCCGAACTATAATTACACTCAGGTTCATCCATTGACATATTATTATTTCTCATATCGCCAATTGCCAAGCAAGGAGAGGACCATGCCTGCAGACAATATTCTTGATGCCCAGTCTGAGGCATCAGATGCGAGTAGCTGGGGCGACATCGATGACAATGACGAAGGCGAAAGTGAGGCCCTCATTGTCTCGCTCTTTGACGAGCGTGTGTTCACAGATGCCATGTCCATGATCTCGTACTGCAAGGAGTCGTACAACTTCGATTTTCTCGCAACAAGAGACCGTTTGTCACTTGATTTCTATGGCTCAATCAAGCTTATCAACTTCAGTACATATCCGCTCCTAGCCACCCATCGCATTTGCTTGTCGCTAATTGCATTCCAGTTCGCTCGAGCGTTCGGGACGGCCAATCTCTACCAAGCGAGATAACAATGGAACAGATCCAGGATGATGTCTACCTCCGTCCTGTCCTGGAAGACGATGCTCTCATCATATCCTTGGACGACCTACCGCAAGAAAATCAACAGATTGTTGATGGCGGGCGCTCCGAGGACTCTATCACCGGCAGCAGTCGAGAAGATGGCAATCTGCGCAAGGCGAACGCCGATTTGCAAGCTCAACTTGATAGCTTAAGCCAGCAATTTGCCAACTATCGCCTAGCAGTTCAGCAGACACTGGACAAGCGCTGGGGGGTTGATGGCGACGATGATTCTGGCGAATCGTTGGTGACAACTCAAGCTAGCACATCAAAGCCCCGTCAAGATGACTCGGAATACTACTGGGAGTCTTATGCATACCACGGTAATGGCGCTCCGAGTCACCAACCTTGGGGTTTAGTTACTGACGGAGGTGCTAGACATTCACGAGACTATGCTCAAGGATGCAGTACGAACCGATGCGTACCGAGACTTCATCTACAACAACAAGCATCTTATTGCGGGCAAGGTAGTACTCGACATTGGTTGCGGCACAGGTAAGTATCACAGAATGTGTAAAAGGCGACGACCATCTTGACTCACATGTATTCAGGAATTTTGAGCATGTTCTGCGCTAAAGCCGGAGCGAGGCAGGTCATTGCCGTGGATAATTCGGCCATCATTGACAAGGCACGAGAGAACATATTCCGCAACGGACTTGATGATAAAATTACGTGTCTTAGGGGACGAGTCGAGGATGTCACTATGCCAGTCGACAAGGTAGACATTATCGTCAGCGAGTGGATGGGTTACTGTCTCCTATACGAGGCCATGCTGCCAAGCGTTATCTGGGCTCGTGATAGATACCTCAAACCGGACGGTCTCCTGATTCCTAGCCACGCCACGATTTTTATAGCTCCAGTGTCCGACTCCGAATATGTCTCAGACCACGTTGATTTCTGGCAAGATGTGTATGGGTTCGATATGACGGCAATGAAATCCGGACTCTGCTCAGATGTCCGCGTGGAACATGTTCCAGAGAGCATTGTCTGCGGAAGCCCCAGCACAGTCGCATTCAACCTCTATAAGACGACTGTGGCTGACCTCACATTCAAAATAGATTGGCGATCCACCATCTCCTCAGACGTCGACGAAGTCGACGGGTTTCTCATCTGGTTCGACATGTATTTTGCGCCTGATCGCCATGATCCAGATGAGCTCATTGTTGCGCCGGCTAAGGAATGGGCTGCGAAGAGGAATGATAGCATTGCATTCACTACCGGACCGATGGGTATCGAGACACATTGGAAGCAGGGATTGCTTTTGTATGAACACGATGACAGCTCTCCCAAGTTTAGAACCGGCGAGGAAATCCAGGGAACATTATCATTTTCCGTTCTGGAGGACCACGCCCGCGGCCTTTCTATCCAAGTAGACTGGGAAACATCACCAGGCAATAGGCGCAGCCAGTCGTGGAATTGCCGTTAAATCATACCAGTGTGGGTTTACTGGTTCATCTTTACTCTAACCTGATTCTTCTACGCTTCTAAATGTGCTCTTTAATGACTCGTTTGTCGTGTCCTCCGCTAAAAGGCTAACACGTCCCACCCCGCATAATATCGATGCAATCTAAGGTCTAGGGAAACATGTAGACATGGCTCGCTCTTTTACATGTTGTATGTCCCTCACGGGTAATTAGCCCCATCCCGTAGACAAAGTTTTCTTTGACTCGTGAATATGTCATGTGTCTTAAAGATGTGGCACTCCTGCACTCTGCATTAGGAGATTCACAATGCTCAAGAAGCCCTCTCCAAGTATGAATCCCTGTATAAAACGGTCAGCACAGTGCACAGATACGCGAAGCTGGGACTCGAGCATCTGTCTAGTCTTGTGTCTCCGAAATATCGCGCTGAGTGCATTATGAGGAGACTGCTCACCGAAGCCAGAACGATCAATGGGGTGTCGTCCCCTCCAGATCTCGCCTTCCAATACCAAGCAATTACACCGCCTATCGTCCTTGCTAGGGTGAATGATGGGACGTTGTACATCCCTACCGTCTCGGATTAGTTAAGGAATTCTAAGTACGACTCAATTGTACCCACCAACGGCGACTGCGATTCCTCCTGGAACATAGGACTGCCATGTCTTGCCAGCAGCGTAAATCCTGACCGCAGTCGTGACAGCGAAGAGAACGGCAAAGGCAGTAGCCCACTCCTGCGCCATGTATGGCAAGCCCTGGCCGGTGACAAGTCGTGCTGTGAAAATCCACCTTGAATATGATCTCAATTAGTACTTTCCGTATAAATACTGCCCGGCAAAAGGGCTGCACCAGAAGGTATGGCGGATCGCAGATGCCTAACTTACACATATCCCGTTGGGACTTGGAAAAGGTCACCGGGAATCTGGTACACACTGCAAAGTGTGTTAGCATGACGAGAGTAAGATAACATATTGTTGCTTGTTAGCAACGCAACGTCCAGCAGCGTCAGGTATCCTGATAAACTCACGCTGTGTATAACCGATAAATGAAGGCGCTGACAACAGCACCGACCGTTGCGCCAATGATTTGGCCCCAGAATTGTGCCTTCGGTGCAGCTCCTAATAGGTGACCCGTTTTCAAGTCCTGCATAAGGTCTCCAGCCTGAAGTGCGCCCTATAGAGCCACTATTTAGATAGAAGGTCCAGAAATCTTCCATAACAGAGACAACTTACAGCTTCAGACTGTAGTGCCGGGAAAATTATGTTAGTTTGTTGACTGTTGCATCAATAGAAGTGATAGACGTACCACCGCACCCGCAACGAGGTTGATGAGCACGCTTGACTTATTCGACTGTGGGATGATAAGAGCAAAAAAAAGCTGAGCCAATTTGCTAATCCCCGAGACAGGGTTTAGATCCGTCTCCCCAAGAGCTCTTACTCCCATGATACTCAATAGGAGTGCCATGAATACAGCTACCACGATTGCGTATAGTGGAACCAGATGACCGAACACGACCTGTATGCAGATGACGGCGAACACGACAGATAAGAGAAATCCGACCCACACAACCTTGTCACTGATAAGTTGATCGACAGGAGCATCGTCCTCAGGTGTAAGTTTGAAGTCTTCACCGAGGTCACCAGCGTAAGAGCCGTCAGGTGCAAGTTCAGACAGGGGGCTTGCTGGGACCGGCAATGACGAGGGATCGCTTTCGTGTTCGCTGACATTCACAGCACTATACCCCTGATGGCGGGGCTGGAGGAGTTTCGCCAATTTGCTTTCTCGAAATTGAACGCCTTTCCCAAGCTTAGAGAGTCGCCCCATTAATGGGCGGAAAGCAAGGTGGCCTAGGCTGATGATTGCATCGGCAAGCATAATGGCCAACGATGTCCATACGATCCATCCTTTGCTCCCCGTCTCCCAGTCGTCAATGGATCCTGGTGCCCATCCCTTGAACTTGGCAAGGGGTGACAGAATAGCCCACCCTACGACAGCGCCAAGAAGCCTTAGAATCCAAGTCAGCATAATTTGTTTTGGGGGGTAGCTAAGCCGTATAGCTTGCGAAGAAGAAAGATCAACCTAGGATATTCGAAGCATCATTCGAACACAGTAGATAAGTGGAGGCCCACGAAGTGAGTCAAATCAACGTACATGTGAAGGGTTGTGGCAGGTCCCATGATGATACCTTGGCCAACATACGCAAGGCTTGGATTTAAAGTCCATAACCACATACTCGCGGCAGTGCCACCAAAGATTGGTATGTTTCGCAACACCGGGAAGAAGAAAGTAGCGAACGTGAACAGACCAGACACAAAGAAGCAAACAAGCAATAGCCTGACATTAGCCTTCCACTCGAGACCGCGAGGATCATTCGGCTGGTCGTTGTCTTCGCTAATGCGAGAAGGACCGTCTCGAAGGTCCCTGATGGGGGCCACGTCATCATCCGTTACAGCGAGACTTGCGAAGCCAGCAGCAATGGAACCCGTGCCATCTGGGTCACTTCGCAAGCGGCTTTTCCCGTGAAGGACGCCGATCAATACGGCAGTACTGAAGCCACTAGGAAATCTCAACTGCTCTCGTATAATTACTTGGCGGCGCCTGTACATACATGCTAGTTAACATGTATCCGGGATCAAGACGCTGTCATGGTCCCTATCAAATCAAGCATGAGAAGGTCAGCAGGGGTAGGCATACAATGGAACGGCGAATACAACGCCAAAATAGCAAAGCCCGAGCGACCACACGATTAGCTTCCAGAGGCTGAGCTGTAGAGGTCCTTGCTCTTCCGGCAAAAGCAAATAGTTCATTGCAGGGATCTACATATACATGGATTAGCAATGTTAGAGACCGGACAACTGGTCTGGCACGGATGCTCACCACTCCAACGAAACCGCATCCTAGGGGCATGATTGCCATGCTTCCTGCAACGGTCTGCACGAGCACGTTTTCGACGGGGGAGAACGGGAATTTCAGACGGCGAGAGAGGGTTTTGAAGATGCCGAAACCCATGAGGCTGGCAGGCATCGTCATGGTACTAACCCAACCGGTCTGCAGGCCGAAATACATATTGGAAAAGCAGATGACAAGGCCAACAAGAAGGCCCACAGCGACACCGCGGACGGTGAAGCTTCGGCCAGGGACAGGTGGACTTCGGTCAAGAACGGATGCACTAGGTGCACACTCAGGGCCGCCCGAAGGAAGATAACCTGCATCATCAGAGGAGGAGGTAACAGATGCTGGCGGCGGTGAAAACCCTCTGTCCGGAGACATGTTGGAGACTCGGGCAGCAGAGGCCATATACAGTAATCCGGGAAGGGTGGTGGAGGAGGTTGCGACGCAAGGTCACCGGTCACCCATATGCAGATAGCAGACCAGATTAGAGCTCAGGCCAAGGACAGACGGTGGAGGAAGGGCGGCTGCAGAGACGGGGAGATGAGGCCGGGAATGGTTATTCCTTGACTGAGAGCATCTCGACCACGCACGAATCAAAGAGTGAGATGTGTGGACCGGTAACCTCGCCCTTTCTATCGACAAGCCTTGCTCGCTTAGTCGATGGCGTTTTTCGATAGGCCAGGCACGGTACGTCCTCGAACGGCAACTAAGATACCTAGGGAGGCTGAAGGCGACGCCGGCGGGCAAGCAGGTGATAGGGACAATCTCAGATGTTGGGATGTAATGAAGCAAGCACGAGCACGCGCACGCGCAGTGGTCAGAGTTAACTTCCGAGCCCGGCGGCTTAAGTGCGGGGGCCACTGCTGACAACGGAGAGAGGGTTAGGGTTGAGATAGGAAGAGGCGGGGCGGGTTCTTTGGAGACGGACTACAGCCTACAGCCTACAGCCAACAGCCAACCCATCAAGGCAAGTCCCTAGATACCTAAGGTAGGTTGCAGGTGGATCAACTCTCCGAATACGTGAGTAAGACAATATAGACAATCTGGTTGGCACTGTTTCTGATATATATAGGTAGGTAGCTCCTTTGCGGGTGGTTCAGATGTAGCCACCAGGGTATGTATGCTCTCATGGTACTCAACTGTGTACATGCAGACCAGGGATGATAACAGTATTTCAACCTTTGCTCTCTACAACTACTCATCTAAATTAGGTACTGACCTTCTAAATCATATAGTGTCGTTTTAACGGGGAATAGTAGATCTGCTCGGGATATGTCTCTCTGGAGAGACTTTTGAGCCGTTGAGCAATCTAGTTGTATGGCCTGCTAGGGGGCAAAGGGGATGGATGAGGTTGAAAGACCTCGGGAGTTCCGCCAGGGGAATCAACCAATGCTGCTTCCTGCCCGCGTGAACTCGCACGAAGCTCTCCCATGATGATATGATTTGGTGGGGCGTCTGCCTTATTACCTGGTGCTGCAGCCTACGCTCCAAGGGGCAGGCTAACCGCCTTTGTGACTGCTGCTGCTCAGCTCCTCCCACATCTCTACAGCCACTTCATCTTACTATCGACGGCCGCGCTGGGCGTGACTCAACCCAGGCGTCGCTTGGCACACTTGCTATGGTGCTTCTGGCATTGACGGGTCTTGGCAGAGAAACAACGGCCATAATGAAGCTATCTATATCTATATATATGTGCGCGCGCACGCATGCATGTGGGCACTCTTCAGATCGGGGTTTCTCAACACATTTTTAAGCATACAAGTGCCGCTCTGGCTCCCGGCTTATTACACCGCCCTTGTCCCGTCTCAAAGCTCTGCGTCTCGACAGCCACTGTACGCAATGGCCTCGCCGACATCTGTCTTGTCCAAGACATTGCAGTCAATCACTGTGACCAAAATCAAGGAGCTCGAGAAGCAGCGTAGCTCCTACGAAGCACGGAAGTCCTCCGTCTTGGCCAAAGCCTCGGCGTGCAGAACACCACACGATAGGCTCTCTTGTCTGCTCGATGGCGTTCAAGAGCTCTACCCTGCGGCAATGAAGGAGCCTTCGCTTGTCAACATGGGACGATGGCTCGAGCAGTCTCGATACGATTGCTCCATCTCCCAGTCCATGCTGCAGTCCTTTGAGGGTCAATTGCGCAAGAAGCTCGATGTACGTAGCCGAAGACTTGCTCTAGCAGATCTGTACTCTCGTCTTCTGACCGAATGGATGAGCCGATCCCCAGCCGATGCGTCCATGAGCGACCCCGCTGGTCTCTTTTCGGAGGAGTCTCCCAAGGAGAGCTTTGAGGTTGTTGAGCGCCAGAGACAGCGACTCGAGGAATTAGTCGACAAATTCGAGCAAGTTGTCTTTGAACCTCTAAACACCAGCGAGACCGAGATCACTTCTTTTCTTGACCGTCTATTTCCTAGCGAGGAAGCGGTGAAGGCTCTGCAAACGCTTCGCCAGACGGTGGCCAACACGACCAACGCCTTCATGGCTGAAATCGCCCCGTTTACACATGAATCTCTTACCCACTGCCTCAAGGGTCTTCTCACCGAGGATCTCCTTACCGACGAGAAACAAGCCATCCTGAGGGACTTTTTAGATAATCCTGTCGCATTGACTGAAATTGCCGATGTCCTCAACATGAGGTTCGCAGACCTGCGGAATTGGGACTGGAATGCGGGCAAGGACGGTTTACGCGTCCTGCCACGACAGCAGCTCAATGGGAAGTATCGTATCTGGACGGACGATGATATCCTAGAGATGCTGTTCGTCCAGTACATTGGTATCCGTCTCTGCAATATCCTCAAAGCCAGCCTGACAGACTTTGTGTCCGACCCTGCCATTTGGTCGTGGGGCCAAGGCGCCCATTGTACACCCCAACGGCGCGATCTAGACCGAAGGCAATATTTCCTTGGTTCCTCAAGCGTGGTGTACTGGAAAAGCGTCCAAGCCGACCGTAAATCCAGCTTCCTCAGCACCTTCTTCTTGTCACAGCTTCCCGCGGACGAAGCCTCGCTATATGAAGGGAATGGTGGGTACGATGGAGATGAAGACGACAGTAGTGTCGGTGTAACGCAAGCAAATAACCCTGACAGTGGTACAAACAAGGACGCGGAACCACAGAAAACGTCAAGCATCAAGCAGAAGCTCCTCCGTCAACTGACATGTGACCTCCTCATGCATAGGTTAAGGGGCAGGCACCACGGCAGTGGGCAACGCGAAGAGGGCGCAGCAGTTATGCTGCAGACTGACCTGCAGTGGTTCGCCACTGGACTGCCTCACAGCACCATCTATGCCGTCATGCGATATGTTGGGTTCTCGGAAGACTGGATACGCTTCTTCAGGAAGTACCTAGAGGCACCATTAAACCTAGATCAATCGGCGGATTACCGTACGCCCAAGGGGGCGCGTGTTCGAAAGCGTGGTGTGCCGATGGCCCACGCGTCCGAGAAGCTGACAGGCGAACTGGTCCTCTTCTTCCTGGACCTGACTGTCAATCGCCAAGCTGGAATGCTCCTATACCGTCTTCACGATGACATCTGGCTGTGCGGAGAGCCAGATGCGAGCTCACAAGCCTGGAAACATATGCAGGAATTCGCCAAGGTGTTCGGGCTCGAATACAACCGCGAGAAGACAGGGTCGGTCTACCTGGTCAACGATGCTCGCAGAGATAATCGGGTGGCAGCGAGCCTCCCTAAAGGTTCTGTGACGGTTGGGTTCCTTAAGCTTCATCCCAGGACAGGTAAGTGGGTCATCGACCAGTCACAGGTCGACGCACACTTGAGGCAACTGCGGCGGCAACTGGCGGACTGTGACAGCATACTCGGTTGGGTACAGACATGGAACTCGTGTATCGGCCGGTTTTTCAGCCACACGTTCGGAGAGCCAGCCCATTGCTTCGGCCCGGAGCACGTTGATAGCATCCTCCAGACGTACGATCGGCTGCAGCGTCGGCTTTTTCCTAGAACTGGTGGCTCAGGGGAAAGCGTGGTCGAGCACCGTAAGTACTATGAGTGACAGCACACTCTCATCAAACACAGGTCTCATGTCTCTGGCGTTTCAAGCCCTGCCCCTTTGTGTTGTATTGTACAGAACCATCCCGGGCACAAGTCTAGCGTACACGTCCCATCTGTCGAGATAATGACGTGCAAGGGGAGCGCAAAACTAACAGAGTATGCAGTAAAGAAGATGATACACGACCGCTTCAAAATTGCAGACATTCCGGACGCCTTTATTTTCTTGCCTGAGCACCTAGGGGGACTTGGGCTACGTAATCCGTTCGTGGGGCTCTTTCTTGTGAGAGGTAAGATAGACAAGTCACCGGAGGAACTGGTGAATGGCTTCATCGAACGAGAGAGGGAAGACTACCTAAAGCAGAAGAAGGCATTCGAGGAAACGAGCGAGGCAATGCTAAGGAGACGGCTCCATAATCTCTACCCGGACGATGGGGCGTCACGAGAGTCACGACTGGGGCTGGGTGCGCTCGGTGAGTTCATGCCACTGGAGGAGTTTGGCAGATATCGAGAGGTGAGCAGCGGGGAACTTCAAGGCACCTACGCCCACCTCATGTCAGTACCGGAACGAGAGGGTCTTGCGCTGAGCAAGGGGGTCGAGCAGGGCATATCAAAACTAGAGGAGGACGCGAGTGCCGGCCAACTCGATGAGGAAAAGAGATGGATCCTGCAACTATACGCAGATGAGCTGATGGAGTCATGCGGCGGCCTCAGCCTGGTAGACAAGCAGTTTCTGCCCGTTGGGGTGTTGAATATGATGAAGGGGAGGAAGGTGACATGGAAGATGATTCTCTGAAGCCCTGCCAGAGGACGAAATACCGCCCAAGCCGCACGATGGATCCCAGGCATATTTCCCACGTGGATAGATGCTCGTTCTCCCCAGTTGGACAGACAGATGAGTCAATCAATTGACCGATGAATGAAAGCGTGACATTCATTCGTTATGTGACAATTGCATGCGTGCCATGAGAGAGTTCATTGCAAGCCCAGCCGCGCTACGGCTTGAGACGGCATTCGGTCGTTCCCTCGGCAGGGTGACGGGGCAGAGGGTAGAAAGAGGGTTCGGAGACGGTAATGCGGCTGTTGTTGTCGTTGTGGTGCTGGTGAGACAGAAAATTCTCTCCACAGCGAGGGCGGCCAGCCATCACATCAGGGTGGGTTGCAAAGTGATGGAAGAAACAAAACTCTGATGAGCACGCCACCTGGCAAGGGGGGTGGCCAGCCAAGGACAGACTACCTATCTAGGTAGGTACACTACCTAGGTTTATGACGGATACTATGTATACGTACCTACAGTATAGTACATGTACGATACATGTCCATATAAATTAGGCAATTAGGTAATGCATTTATGATTTATCACTATGTATGTAGGTAGTGTACACCGCAAATACCGCTGTCGGCATTCAAGAGAAGAAGTTCCGGCTCGCAGCGGCGATGCATCCTGGTAACCCAAAAAAAAAAAAGGTGAAAATTTGTTCTTGGAAAATTCTTTGCATGAGGCTAAAACCCCTGAAGGGTCCAGCTGGCCGGATAGCGTGACTCGGGTAGGCGGCACTAAGGCAGGGTCTAGTCTGCGGTGTAGCTAGGTGTGCAGTACATACAGTACAGCACTGTAACGTACCGTACGTAAAAGGTAGGATAGCGTCTTTGCGTCATCCCATCCCGTCCCATCACATCGCATCACGCCGCCGCATCACGCTGCCTCGTCCCCCGGCTCTACCACGCTCCATCTCCTCGCTGCATTCCTTTTATTTATTTATTTTTTTATTATTATTATTTTTTTAATAAAAAAAACATCCTCTCTTTCTTCTCGTCAGTAGTGACTTTGAAAACCTGGTAGATGGGCAGGTGGGTAGGTACTGCGATACCGTAGGTATTTGCATATGCACGAGACGGCCCCGCAGGGATCTAGCTGCATTCTAGCTCTCTCGGCCCCCCGCCTGTACAGTACACCTTGCAGGTTCCCTGGGTATGTAGGTAGACGCATCCATGCTTCAGTGCCGAGAGCCTCTGTTGTCTGCTGCTGAAACCCTTGCAAGTATCGCAGATTCCGGGGGCCAGAGGTCCAGAGGAAACCATCGGGGGAAACATGGGCGCATGAAGACAGCCACCTGCTTACTGAAATCATGGGTCTTTGAGGGTTAGTCTCGTCGACATAAGCCTCTTCTGGGTACTGCTGCCTTTGTAGTCACCGCTAGGGCAGGCCGGCCGCCGGCGAGTCTCGCCATGAGCCGCCCTCCCCAGGGAGCACCCGAGGCTGTATCGTGACTTTTTCACGGGTGGGCCGTCCATTGGGCCCAACATCGCAAAATTCTCTCCTCCTCTCTCGTCCCTTAGGCCCTACCGGGTTGTGTGGCTACCAATGTAGATCATTCTGGTATTGCCGCCGTTGCCTCTCGTCTTCGGGCTTATTCCTCCTTGCTACGCGAGGTGCTCGCGTTCACAGGTGCTGTAGCAGGTTGCTTCTTCCCAAACATTCGCTATATATGAGCTGTGTTTCCAGTTCCATACCTCTCCTGCACATACATCCTCGTTTGACTACACTCCGGAGCAGTTGACGCCTTACCACGGCCCCGGCTACTCTGTATCTCAGGATAACATCTCGAGCCATATTCCCTCGCTCACTACCCCGTCTCCGACCCCAGCACCGCCGGGCTCACCGCAAACTTGCCCTACACCGTGCCAGAGAGACCTTACCCATATCAGCGCGGATAGGGCACGATCATCGCTCGAACTTCGCCCTGTCATGGACAAGGACGCGAAGCTGTCGGCCCTCGATGCCGAGAAGCAGCCTATCCAGGCCGGTGCCACTGAGCAACTTGAACGCGGGCTCAAGAGCCGCCATCTTCAATTCATTGCTATAGGGGGCACGGTTGGTACTGGTAAGCGAGTCAGAGAATGGTGCAGTTGAGAATCATCAAGAGTTGTCCTGCTGACCTGGTCAGGTTTGTTTCTCGGTAGCGGGGATGCCCTGGCGAAGGCCGGTCCTGTGGGCTGTTTGATCGCCTATGTATTCGTCGGCAGCATTTTGTATTCTGTCATGACGAGCCTGGGCGAGATGGCCACATACATACCGGTTGCTGGCTCCTTCACGTCGTACAACACACGTTTTGTCGATCCATCGCTCGGCTTCGCAATGGGTTGGTTGTACTGGCTCAGTTGTGCGTCAATCCCCGCGTTCACCCCTTTTCGCTCGATGGTGCGATTCTGCCTCTGACACTTTGAGATAGGGGCTATCACATACGCATTGGAGCTTACTGCGGCTGGCCTCATCATCCAGTATTGGAACGCTGATCTTAGCATCGGCATTTTCATCGCTGTATTCTGGGTCTTCTTCACTGCCATGAACTTCTTACCAGTACGATGGTTTGGTGAACTGGAGATGTGGTTCTCCAGTATCAAAGTCGTCACGATCCTAGGCTTTCTCATCTTCGGTATATGTATCGATGCTGGCGTCGGCAAGCAAGGGTATCTCGGTTTCCACAATGTAAGTGAACTCTGGATGAATATCGCCAAGGGTAGCGCAGGGAAGACATTTAGGTGCCATTCTACTAGCAGCATCTATCAGCATTTGATTGTCGATGACCTGCCTTTCCCGCTTCGAACAATGCTGAGCACTAATTGGCCATTATATAGTGGACGTCACCCGGGCCGTTTTCAGAGTACATGGTCTCCGGCTCATCCGGAAAGTTTGTCGGATTCTGGGCAGTATTAATCCAAGCATCCTTCTCTTATCAGGGCGCTGAGCTCGTCGGTGTATGCGCTGGAGAAGCCCGTAACCCGCGCAAGACCGTTCCTCGAGCGATCCGAAACACATTCTGGGGCATCCTGTTCCTCTTTGTCTTCACCATCTTCTTTATCGGTCTCTTGGTCCCGTCCACCGACGACCGGCTTCAAACGGGTGCCTCCGATGCTTCGGCATCTCCATTGGTCATTGCTGCAAACTTGGCTGGTGTTCCCGCTTTGCCCGACATAATCAATGCCGTTCTGCTGACCGCAGTGCTGTCTGCGGCCAACTCCAACGTATATTCGGGCAGCCGCATTCTCATTGCCCTCGCAGAAGAAGGCCAGGCGCCAGCTTTCGTCACTCGAACGAACAAGCAGGGCATCCCCTATATTGCCGTTGCAATCACCTCTGCTTTTGGTCTCCTAGCATTCCTCAACTTGTCAGCAAATGGTGGTAATGTTTTCAACTGGTTCCTGTAAGTGTATTTCCCCAATCCAGTCCGACCATTGGAAGTGGAGTCTCGATCCCACGCTGGTGTGAAAACTTTCATCCCGACGGATATCGGATACATTGCCGCCTTGACTCGGTGGTTGACGTTGTAGGGCATTTACTGACTCCAGGTTCTCTAGAAACATCATTGGTGTGGCAGGGCTCATCACCTGGGCTAGCATCAACATCTCTCACCTCCGCTTCATGCGCGCGCTCTCGATGCAAAATATCCCACGGTCAACTTTGCCCTATGTTGCCCCCTTGCAGCCATTTCTTGCATACTATGGCCTATTCATGAACATTCTCGTGACTCTGACGCAGGGTTTCACTGTTTTCATCGATTGGAACACCTCCGATTTCTTCACCGCGTACATCAGCGTGATTGTATTTGTTGTCCTCCTGGTCGGCCACAAGGTGATTTCCAGGTCTAGTACTGTCAAAGCTTGCGCAATTGACCTTGGCAGAGGACGCCTGGAAGACTTCTCTTCGTGAGTGTTGCCTTAAAATGTAAACAGAAATTTAGACGCTTGTATCGATTGTATATTTATTTGCATAAGAAAATAGCCTTTAAGACAAAAAGGGTTCCGCCTTAATAGAGCCGACTGCAATAGCCTTTCTGGCAGGACTGACGCAATAGGAACTACTGCCCGTGAGTGCACAGTTGGTTAGTGGCTTTATGAAAACCAGGGTTGGTAATTAGTAGTACTAAATTTAGTAGTACTACAAATTATATAAGATATATAATACTAGAATCTCTTAAAATATTAATAACGTTTTGAATATTAAAGTTATACTATCTTTTAATTTAATATACTATTGATAATATAATAATCTAAATTATAAAACTCTTTTCACTTTTATATCACTTATATTCGATTTTTAATAATGATTTTAATACTATTTCAAAATCACTATAAAACAATCAATTTTCACCCCTTTTAAACACTTTTTTAAAATATCAATAGTATTATTATAATATTATTGATATTATTACTGATTATCAGGGTTGGTAATTAGTAGTACTATTTATTTGACTCTTTACTTAATTAACTACCACTTATATTCGATTTTTAGTAATAATTTTGAAATTAGCTATTTTAAAAGTGTTAATTATAACTTTTAAAACAATACTTTCTCAAAATTACTACTAAAAATCCAATTTTTAACCTTTTTAAACACTAATTATAAATAAGAATAATATTCTTATACTACTATTAGTATTATATCTATTTATTAGTATATTACTTATATTCGAAATTTTATAATAAATTTAAATACTTTTTACTAGTAAATACCATTATATAAGAAAACCAACTAACTAACTAACTCACTAAGTAACTAATCCTCTTTCTTAATATCTTTAAACCTTAATTATTTTTCTAACTTATTTAAATTCTTCACTTTCTAGCTTTTTAGTAATAAAAGCATTCTAACTGTTTCTAGATAAAGCTTATTTCTAAGCTTAATAATTATATTATTACTAACTAAGAAAATACTTTTAATAATAACTAAAGTAGCTAGAATTACTAAATATTATCTAGTTAAAATACTTAAATAAGGATACTTATAACTACTATTCTTTTAATACCTAAGTAAATCTATCTAATAATATATTAATTAGTAAATATATAATAATATAAATCACTTACTTACTTATTTAAGCTTATAATACTCTTTTAAGTAAATGATAAATTTGTTTTTAAGTTAAGAATTTAAGATAAATAACTTTCTTTTTAAGTTTATTAAATAAATAGGATTATTTACCTTATTTTCTTTATCTTTCTTATTTGAATGATTTGATTCACTTTTACTTAAAAGACTATATAATTAAATTAGTAAGTAATTTAATTTAGTTAATTATTAATTTACTTATAAATTATATTCATCTTTAAATAACTTAGCTATATCTTAATAAATTCCAATATAATAGAACAGAAAGCCTTCTTTCTTAAAGTAATGTAATTTAAAGTATAGATTCAAAATTAAGCTTATAATATAGGCTTTATAAAGGTAAAAGCCATCTAAATCTAGCCTTTTAAGGAAATACTTTTCTAATAATACTATTTAAATTAAAATAGTTATTAACTTAGTTAACTAATTAGCTTTTTACTTATCCTATCCAAAGGACAATATTATAGCCAAACTTAAGAAAATTATAATATATAATAACACAAAAGAAAGCTAATAAAATCGTATTGACAACCCATTAGACAAGAGTCTACTATTCCCTACTTTATCTACAATCACTTAAGTATAATCATATTATATATTATGACTCATCTATTATCCTACTGTTTGTTTACTTAATAGCTTTAACCTTTATCTTTCTATTGTTTGTTTATTTGATAGTTTTAACTTTTATTCTTTTATTTTAACCTATCAAACTTTCTTATTATTTTCTTTTCTTTTTATTATTATTTTAGCTTAATTATAAAAATAATAAATATAAAATCATAAACTTATTTATAATATAAAATTAAATAGTTTATTAACTAGTTTGTTTATTTATATAATACTTTAAAAACTATTATAAACTATCTCTTTTATCAAAAAAAATCAAATTTAAAGATAAATACTCTAATTTTAGCTTATTATTTAAAATTATCTTTTATTAATAAGTTAAAATATTCTTATAAATATATAAATAGCTAGAATAAGCAAAATTATATATAGAAAGTATATTATAATTGACAATCTTACTTTAGATAAGGATTAGAATTAAGTATCTACTATAAAATAATAAAACCTTACTTATAATATTATAAGTAAACAATATTATATTAATAAAGTTATAGCTAATGATACTTTTACTACTATAATAGTTTGATAGTAGTAAGATATTATCTAAAGAAAGTATTATTATTAATATTATAAAGGTTAAAATCTTTTATAAATATCTAGATTAAATACTTTAGTCAATCAATAAAATATATAGAATAATAAAGTTAATTAAGTTGATATTATCAAGTTTAACTAACATACTTATATAGCAAGTAGGCCAATAGACTGAAATAGGCTACTTTTGTATACCATACCACCTTCCACCTTTTCTACACTTTTTCTCCACCATCAAGCATAACTTCTTCTTTAAAAGAAGCTAAGATCATTCTTACCTTCCAAACTCTCGAAAAAGACCCAAAACTTACTAAATAAACTATAACGAAAATCTATAATATACCTTATACGATATTAGCCTACCAACGTATAAGTATATAACTATGATATAATATCTTTATCAATTTAAAGTTATTGATAGAAATAGAAGAGAATATACTAATTAAACATATTCTTAACCTAGATTTACAAAGATTTTATCTATAATTTTATAATATATAAGATATAGCCGACTATATCCTTAAGTTATATAATATATAATATATCAAACCTTAATAAGCAAAAAACTTTATATAATGATATTCTAAAATAACTATATATTTTCAATATCAAATCAATTATCAAAGAATATTATATAAAGATTTAAATATAATTAAAGGATAGTTTATATTTATATAAAATATAAAAAATAAATATAAAATCTTTAATAATAATATCTATAACTTTAATAAGATTAGATTTTTAATAAACATATTTTTATATATTAAAGTTATTATAATCTTAGAAAAATATAAATAATTTTATATAAATAATCTAATAATTAAGAATATATTTTTATAATTATTATAGTTAATATAACTAGCTAAATAATACTATTATTCTTGATTATAAAGAGTTAATATTATCTTCTTAATTGATATATTAATAATAACTTTCTAAAAGATTAAAAAGTTTATATAAATAATAATAGCTAGATAATAGATAAAATTAGTCTAAAATAACTATAATACTTTAATAAGTATATTAAAATATATATAAAAGGTAGATATTGTCTCCTTATCCTTAATGATTATAAAAGCTATCATTCGATAGATTTTAAAGAATATTATAAGGAAAATAATATTATTATACTTTATATATCTTTTTATTTCTTTTATAAGCTTTAGTTATTTAATATTAAATACTTTAGTATATTAAAAAACTTATATAATCAAATAATTAAGCAGATAATATAGCTATAGATTATCTATATTATTAAGAATGACTTTTTTTCTATATTTTAAGACATATATAATAATACTATAACCTTAACAAACGTTAAAGCTAGCTTTTAAGTAACTAGCCTTATTCTATTTAATCTAGATAAGATATTATCTTAGCTAGAAAGTCTATCTTAACTAGTTATATCTTAGGGTTTATAGTCTAGTATTATCTTTACTTAGATTAGATAGATACTAAATAACCTAATTAAAGCAACTTTTTAAACAACTTTAATTAAAAATAGAATCTTCTATCATCAGAATAACTCTTTAATATATATTTATAGTAAGATTGATACTTTTATATAAGATATAAAGAAGATTATATATAAAATCGCCTTAATAAAGTAGAAGATCTAAGACCTTTAGACGGTAAATAAAGTACTAAGTAAACGTTAAAGAGCTAAAAAAATATATTTTCGACAAAAAGGATCATTATCATAACAAAAGGTAGAGTAAATATAGGAAGAAAGAGGCCTTATAGCTAAAGATGATATAAATATAAGTATAAAAGAGGATTATATAAAGGGGAACTAACAATATATTCGATACTATAATAATTATAGAAAGTCTGGCTATAATATATAAATGTGTCAATTAGATATAGAGATGTCTAAAGATAAGGATTCTAAATAGTTTTAATTGATTTAAGGTATTATGGTTAAAATAACTTATATAAAGGTGATATAATGTACGAATGGTATGTCGCTTGCTATGATGCGCCGCTTGTTATACAACTATATTATAAAAAGAATAATATTATTATACTTTATATACTTTCTTATTCTTCTTATAAACTTTAGCTACTTAACGTTAGATACTTTAGTATATTAAAAAACTTATATAATCAAACAATTAAGTAGATAATATAAATATAAATTATCTATATTATAAAA